CCAACAGCCTGCGCTCGTCCACCCCGACCTTGAGGAACTCTTCCAGTATTTGGTGGCCTCATGACCGCTCGTTCGCCCATATTACATTCACTCTCCAGGTGACCAGTTCTCCTACAGCGAGCGCAATATTTCACTCCCACCAACTGAGGGCATGACGACTTGTAATGAGGTCCGCCACACTGAAAACATCTGACTGCCCCATGCTGTACAGACTGTCCGGCAACAACCATAGCTTGAGACCCATTTGAATTTGATGGCTGTGCTGGACGAGCGTACGGCGTCCTACCTCGATTCAGATTTGTCCTGAACAGACTCGGTCCCCTAGTTGCTTGTTGTTGCTTCTTCTGCTGCTCCACTTCAGCCACATTCTTTTCCAATACTTTGGCCCTCTCAACCATTGTAGGAAACGACTTAATACAAAGGCTGGATATCAGCACTTTCAGATCACTCCTCAGCCCATTCTCAAACTTCCGACACTGCCATTCTTCACTGGTAACCATAGTATTGAATCTCACTAAGTGCTTGAACGTATTGGTGTACTCCGATACAGATTTCCCACCTTGTACCAATTGAAGGAACTCCACTTCCTTGGCGAAACGAACGCTGTCTGGGAAATATTCTTCATAGAATTTACTTCTGAAAACTTCCCAAGAGATGGGACTGTGAGCGTCCGCCAAAATAGCCTTCATGCTCGTCCCCCAGTGGCTTGCTTCCCCAGTTAGCAGATACTCCGTGAATGCCAAGCGATTTTCGTCCGGGCACCTCTTGGCATTATAAATTCTCTCCATGTCCCTCAACCACTGGTCAGCCTCGTCCGGTAAACCTTTCCCATTGAACTTGGCTGGGTGGTGCTGAAGAAAACTCTCCAAGCTCTACTCGGTCGGATGAGTCGCATTGGACGTTGACGCTCCGGCCGTGTTCCTTGTCGTGGCAATAATCTCCATCAACTGACGTTGCGTTGTTTCAGAGTTGGCGCGTGCGGCCTCCAGACTCTGTAAAGCAGCCGCGTTCTGCTGCATCAAGACAGCGTTCTGCTGTTGTAGCCTTTCGATCACTGATTCCAACAACTTGGTGTTGTTGGACACATCACGTTCGGTGGGTTGTGGTGGAGGAGGAGGTCTTGGTGCCATTTGTTCTCTGAGAAGCAGAGAAAACGATCGTTAGTCATGTTCAAAGAGTTTAAAATAACTCATCAAACACACATTAAGCACACAGCAAAAACATAGTGCACTCATAACCTACAGTGTCCTTAA